TCGTCACTTCCTAGACTTCTTCACTGCGGGCGCAGGCGCATCCTCAGCCTTGCGCTTTGGCATAAGCGATGCCAGCGGTGCGTCAGCGCGTCTCCCTTCGCGACGTCGCTGTTGTTGGTCAGCACCTGCACAGACACAGACGGCATCACATCGGACTTCATGGTCACGACCTTCATGTTTGCATTGAGTTCGGGGGTCGACCCTGCACGAACCAAAATGGAATGACTAAGGAGCCAGGGGCCTTTGCCAGCCCCCCTACACCCGTATTCGCCTGCACCTTGGGCATCTTCATGCCACCAGTGGGGAGCAACACGATGTTGAAAATGGTGCCTTTGGGTCCTTGTACGACTTCGCAAACACGCTCCCGTTTGGTGAGTCTTCGTTGCATTTCTTCATGACGATGCTCGCAGTGAGTGGGACAAGCACTATCTCTCCTGCTTTGAATGCACGCGTGGTAGTGATAGACCGATACTTAACAGGCGATGTTACGCCAGTGATGCCCTTCAAGCAATCTGAATGCTGGGCGTACATGTCGTCCAAGGCGTTCTGATTTTCGCCTCCTCAATTGACCACTGCCAGTCGACGCTCATCATGGGGCCGTGGTCAGCAAATGTTTCGATTATTTCCTGGGAAGGATCGGGGGGGGGGGGGCATGCGAGAGGCATAGCACTGGATGGGCGAATGGATGGTTGAAAAATACATAGAGCGGGGGACACATAGACAGAGAGCGAGCGGGGGAACGAGAGAGAGAGAGATGGGGATAATGATATATGTATAGAGATGGATAGACAGATGTAATAGAGGACGGGTGTATATGTATAGAGATATACATACATAGATATATATATATATATAGGAGAGAGGTGTCGTCAAAACAATTGAAGGTCGGGTTGCGACGAGATCGCATGTTGCCCTAGCTGTCTTTGTCGTGCTCAAGACGTACTTCCCATTTAGCATCTCGTCAATGCTCTCAACCACTGTCTTACTCCCGATCATCAACTTCACACCCTTCGCATCGACCCCAACGAACTCGAACGCGCTGTCCCTGTCGTCACCCTTCGCCAAGCAGAGCTTTGCTTTCGACACGAAGCCTCTCTCCGACAACTTATCTGCCTGGTTGGACCATGCGCCTGTCGCAGTATCCTCCTTTACACCCGAGCTTGTAGCCGTTTTGGGCGCTGCTGCAGGGGCGGCCTTGACCCCCCATGGGCCCCCGACTGGTTTGCCCACATGCGTTGCCAACGCAGTGCAGAAGCTGGCGCCAATATCTGGCAACGTTTTGGCGCTGCCCAATCGTTCATCTGGTTTGTTGAATACGAAGTGCACGACGCGAACATCAGTCAGCCCTACGATGGTGCCGTATGCGAGCGTGTCTGGCGTAACGCCTTGGTTTTTGTTTGCGATCTCTCGCACCTTCTGCAAGAACACATCCGCATGCAGAACACTTGTATCCTTCTTGTCACCAGACAGCGCGGGCACGTCACCTGGCCTTAAGAGCATCTGATGGCCGTCCCTGGCGTACTTGCCACTCGCGGCCGTCATGGCTTTCATGCGTGCGAGTTTGAATGTCACCGCAGCCCCCTCGTTTTTGATGTTCACTTCGGCGAGGTTCTTCGCCATGGCGCCTGTGACCACGCACTGGGCAGTTAATTGCCGTGAGAAGTCCCGCAATTCGTCGAAGAAAATTGGCTCGCACAAACCACCCGACATCTCTTTCACATACGTTACCAATCCGTCGATTTCCCCAGGGGAGAGGGATCCCGCGCGAGTCGCCACATGAATTGCCCTCGGCCAATCGATCTGGCCTCCTTGGTTAGCCAAACGGTTAGCAATGGATGCGATCTTGAACTTCAGGCTCAATCGGGACTCGCAACGTGCGATCTGTTGCCCCGCATTGCCTGCTTCCTGGGCAAGATTTGACATCCAAGGGAACGCTTTGACACATACATACCGAAAGACCTTCCATTCAATGCCCTCATCGCAAGCCTTTGCGTAGTCGGGCTGCGCTTCCCTCGACCTCTTCATTGAAAGAAACCCATATTGTGAAATCCTGTCGAATCGTTATGGATCTTTCTGCGGCACGGGAACTTCTGCATGCAATTTAGCTTCGCATTCATATAAAGGCATTTGGCCAGCAGACTCTTTCATTATCTTGTCGTTGAACGCTTTGACCTTCTCATATTCCGCCGAGCCTGTTTGCAATTCCATGCGCACTGGATTTTGAAGGGCCGAGTTCTTGAAACCGTTCCTGAATATTTTTAAGATGAGATCTAGCACATCGCTCGGGACAACCCCATCCCCATACCTGTTTCCCATGCACACGAACATGTATTTGCTATGAATCCTCTCCTGATGCAATCGATGCCAGGCCGCTGCGCTATGGCGCATACCGTTTCGAACAAAGAAACAACGGGGGCGTCTGGCTGCTCATACGCAGCCTTGATTGCATGCATCTCCCCAACAACATTCTGTATGTTCAGTTCACGCGTGGAGGTCATGACGGTTCGCGCGGGAACCACCTCTGTTGAGCCAAAATCCTATACGATGCATGCATATATATATATATATGTGCAAATGAGCATTGCAATCTTGCAATCGCACCCTTCGAAATTCACGAATGAATTGCACCGATCGCACTCGCATGGGGGGAGTCAGGCAACACTCTAGCAACGCCATGCCGAAAAACGAATAGCAACATTGAAAAAAAACACCAGGGAAGCCAGCCTACACGTCATCGTTGGTTCCAACATATGTTAAAAGTTAGCAGAGTTGTTAACTTTTCTAACTCCGCGTAACTATACTTAAATAGAGGGACCAAGTTAGCGAAGTTAGTAAGTTCATAACCTAGTTATAACAAATTATATTAACTTATAATAGACTTATACCATAGTTATAACATACATGGTTATAACTCACGGTAACACTTATAATCGCTTCGCTCATTCCGCCGGCCCATATTGTCGCACCGTTGTGGGCTAGCCGAGTTTCGGGGCCTCTTGGGGGCCGTTTTTGGGCCTCTTGGGGCCTCTTTTGGGCCTCTTGGGCGCCTCTTGGGGCGTCTTGGGGGCCTCTTGGGGGCCTCTTGGGGCCTTTTTGGGGCCTCCTGGGCGCCTTCTGGGGCGGAGGGCTCGATTTTTCAGTTCTCGGTTCTCCTCTTGAGCCCCTCTTGGGCCCGTCTTGGGGCCTCTTGGTCCGTCTTGGGCGGCACTTGGGCCGTCTTGGGGGCCCTCCTGGGCCGTTCCGGGGCCGTCTTGGGAGCCTCGTGGGCCGTCTTGGAGCGGTCTTGTGGGCCTCTTGGGCCGTCTTGGAGCGTCCGGAAGCCGAAAAAGCCAGAACGCAAAAAAAACATTGAAAAAAAAAAACAAAAAAAAAAAAAAAAAACAATTGGGCCTCTTGGGGCCCTCTTCGGAGGCCTCTTGGAAGGCCCTTGGGGCGTCTTGGAGGCCTCTTGGGCTGTCTTGGGGCCCTGTTGGGCGTCTTCGGGCGATCTTTGGCCGTCTCGGGGCCCTCTTGGACCGTCTTGGAGGCTTCTTGGGGACCTCTTGGCCCGTCCTGGGGCCCTGTAACAGGGCTCCGGCATCTCTGGCCCGACCTTGCCGGGACCTTGCCGGGACCTTGCCAGGGACTTGCCGGGACCTTGCCGGGGACTTGCCGGGACCTTGCCGGGGTACTTTTCGTCCGGGGACCCCCAGGGGCCGCCCCGCGCGCGCGAATTAGAAATATTGTTAACCAGGTACCGGAGATCTTAGCACGCCCTGGCCCACGCCGATCCTTTAGGCAGAGCCGGGCCGGGCCGGGGCCGGGCCGGGACCGGGGCCAGGCCAGGGCCGGGCTGGGGCCGGGCCAGGGCCGGGCCGGGGCTCGCGCGGCAGTTCGGAACCCAGAGCTTCAAGGGTAAACTGGGAGTCAGAATTGGGAGAGCTTTTCGGGCGAAGTGAGCCAGACCACAGCTCACAGCTCGGACTTGCGAGCATATCTCCAGTCAACCGCAGGCGAAACGGCTCGCACCGCCTGGTTTTTGCGAGGATACCTGCGGCGGGGTCTCCCTGGCCGGGGGTAGCTTCTATCACGACAACTCTCCGCTCAGCGAGCTGCGTGGTGAGAAGAACTGTAAACGAAGGTCCGCGTCCGCCGTCGCTCCCATGCAAAATAGCGTTGCCATTACTCGGGCCTCTGGCTGCCGTGGGAGCCGATTCGGGCGTCTCCAGAACACTGTCGATCAAGCAACTGCCGCTTGGCACCCCGCAGCAAGATAATTTCCAAAAGCCGGCAGAAGTCCCCGAGAGCCACGATCGTGGGACCCGTCAGCGCGTCGCCATGTACTGATCCATGAACGCTTTTTGGTCTGAAACAAGAAGTCGGAGACTGGACATGACGAGAGGACTGTCGGGAAAGAGGATGTATGAGAAGGCCCGAAAGATGGAACATTGTTTGCGCGCGGTGGAAAATAGCGCGTCGTTGTCGGCGCTGCGCAGCGACAGCTGCCGAGGCTCAGGCGCAATTTTGACGGCTCGCACTGCCAGCTTCAGCCAACGTTTTTCAAAACGTCCCCCAACGGGGACGCCGCCTGCATGAACTTCTCATCGCTGAACTCGACGGCCTATGCCCGGGCAGCTTTCGCCTCCTTGATATTCCTGAGGATGCGGGGCGTGTGCCCCAAGCAGGTCTGAATCTCCTCGAAGATGGCATCGCTGTGGTCTTCGGGCACGCCGTGAATGCACACGGCGGACCCCGTTCCTCGGAGCACGGCGATGCCAGCAGCGTCGACGAACCGAAACATGAGGCGAACGGAGTCTTCCACCTCTGGGGGCTGCCCCGCTGAGAGACCCCCTGTTCTAGGCGGCCGCGTGCGGATTCTGCGCGCTGCTAGGTATGGGCACGAGGATGTTCTTCTTCAGCGCGAAGCCCACCTCGAAGTTCTCCATTGCCAAGGGGCCTCGGCACGGTGTTTCTTGTGCCTGGGCCCCCCCCCCCGCCTCTTCATCGGGCGGCTGAGGGGCCTGCGTCAGCCCCGACCCCGCGGGGCGGGCTGGCGAGCTGCCCGCGCCCGCCTCGGGCGTCTCGCTCGGCGGCGGAGGGGCGCCAACCTGGGACGCCGGCACCTGCCGGTCGCGCAGTTCCGCAACGACCGGGGCTTCGAGTGCGCGGAGCTCCTCGCAATTCATTGGCTTGCCGTCGAGCAAGTCCTTTAAGCCCTGGCAGATCTTATCAGCCACGTCCTGGCCCCCCTCCTGGTGCGCGCCCGCAGCGTCATCGGGCGCCAGCTAGCGCAGTTCTTGGAGCCCGACCGCGGGGTTCCACATCATCATGCGGTTGGCAGCCCTCGCAAAATTCTCGCTGTCAGCCGCGTGCTTGGCCATGGTGGCTCGGCCATCTGCCACCAGCAGAAAACCCATGTGCGCCAGGACGATGTAGTCGAACTGGGGCGCCTTGATGTCGGTGTCTGTGGTGAGTGGATTCTGCGCGAAGGCTTTGACGTTCAAATTGCTGGTGATGCGCTGCAGGGTCTGCATCGGGTTCACCTTGGACGCGACGTCGTGGGGCGCCAGCATCTCCGCGGACGCGAGCGCGGGGGGTGGCATGGAAGCGAACCGCGCGCGGGTCTTCGCGAAATCTTGGACAATCTCCCTGGCACGCATCGTCATCTGGAAGTTCTTCGCGAACCAATCCCCCAACGCCACGGCGGCGTCCACTGATGGTCGCGCGACGTCGGGCGGGATCTGCGACTGGTCCGAGCCGTCCATCAGGGTATTGATGTGCTCGTCGGCGGAGTTCCCAACGCATTCCCCTATCTCGTCCCCTGTCATGTCCTTCACCTGGTCATCAGTCTTGTCGGCCTTCTTGAGGAGGAATGTCACCACCTTCTCGCCGACGTCGACAGGTGGCATGAACTGGATGGTCCTCGTCATGTCCTTCCGCGCGGCAGAATCCGCAAGCGTGCCCATCGGCGCGAAGTGGTGCCCCGAGGCCCATGCAGCCTCGAGAATTCTAGTGTGATAAATTGTCGCCATGGCCCACCACCTGAACACCCTGTGGCGCCAGGGTTCCTCGTCGCGCTGCTTGGAGGTCTTGAGCTCGTCCTTCAAGTCCTGGGCTGTTGTCTTCGGGTCCTTGGCGGCGGTCTCCTGCTCCTCCTCCTCCTCTTCCTCCTCCTCCTCATCCTCCTCCCCCTCCCCCTCCTCCTCCTCCTCCTCCTCCTCCTCCTCCTCCTCCTCCTCCTCCTCCTCCTCCTCCTCCGGCGGCTCTGGACGCGTCGCTTTCTGCTCGGTGAGCCTCTGGCGTTTGGTCGTCGGCCAATTTGTCTCCTGTCGTTCGGCGGGCGAGGGCCTTCTGCAGGTTCTCCTTGCCCTCGCTCCGGCGCTCCACCTGGGCGTCAAGGTTGCGCAACCTGCGGGGGGGCAAACGCATCCACTTCCCTCCGCCATTCCCAGCTGCTCGGCCCGCGGATTATGGTACCCCGCGGGGCCCTGTGTTTTGGTGCGCTGTCATTTGGCCCTGCGGTCCCTGGCCCTCTGGTCCCCGGTCATTTCGTCCTTTGGTCCTGTGGTCCTGTGGTCATTGGTCCTGTGGTCCTTTGGCCCTCTGGGCCTCTTGTCCTTTGGTTCTCCTGCTGGTCCTCTGGTCCTCTGGTTCTCTCACCCTTTGACCCATTGGTCCGTTGGCCCTGTGGTTCTCTGGACCCTTTGGTACTTTGGCCCTCTGGTCCTCTGGTTTTTAGTTTTCGTTGGTCATATGGCCCCCTTGCCCTTTAACCCTCTGATCAATTTGTTCGTTGGTCCTCTGGTTCTTCGGTCCTGTCGTCCTTTGGTCCTCTCGTTCACTGGTCCGTCGGTCCTTTAGTCCCCTGGTCGTGTGGCCCTTTGGTCCTTTTGGTCTTTCGGCCGGCGGCCCGGCGAGCGGGGGGGGCCCACGGGGCCCCCGCGGGACTGAGCAATTGGGGCGAACAAGACGGGAGTGGGTAAGCGTTGCCCCGCCCAGCGTTTTGTTCCCTTTCGCGTAGTTGTCGCACTCGCGGGTTTTCGCCCTCAACTGTTCGGTCAAAGCCATTATCTTCTTGGCGTTTTCCTGGATGACTTGGGACTGGGCTGCCTCGAGCAGGCCCGCCGCCCGAGGGTTCCGAGCGAACTTGCGTGCACGTTGCTCCCTCCTGCGCTTCTTGTTTGCTTCGATCTTGTCCTTGTAGCGCTTGCTCTTCTTAGGGGGTTCCGTCATCGGTCGGTCGCGCGCTGCGGGGGGCAGGGTTTCCCCCGGGGCCGTAGGCGACCGGAGGAGCAGGAGGAGACGAAGGAGGAGGAGAAGAAAGGGAGAGGAGGAGGAGGAGGAGGAGGAGGAGGAGAGGGGGGAGGACGAGGAGGACGAGGAGGAGGACGAGGAGGTGAGGAGGAGAGGAGGAGGAAGGAGGAGGAGGGAGGAGGAAAAGGAGGAGGTGGAGGAGGAGGAGGAGGGAAGAGGAAGAGAAGGAAAATGAGGAGGAGGAGGAGGAGACGGTGGAGGAGGAGGAGGAACAGGAGGAGAAGGAGGATGATGATGAGAAGGAGGAGAGGGAGGAGGAGGAGGAGGAGGAGGACGAGGGGAAGGAGGAGGAGGAAGAGGAGGAGGAGAAGGAGGAGGAGGAGGAAGAAGAGGAAGAGGATGGGGGAGGTGGAGGGGGGAGGAAAAGCAGGAGGAGGAGAATGGGGGAGGAGGGGGAGGAGGAAGGAGGAGGAGGAGGAGGAGGAAGACGTGTCGCCTAATCCCTTCGGAGAAACCCTCTGCTGCGGGGTGATTGACCCAGAGAAACTGCAAGGGACGGCGTGGAGGGAATGGGGGAGCAAGCCACCAGGGGGCGAAAGGGAAGAGTGATGGGAGACGGACGCGATCTGCATCATCCTTATCATCCTAATCCTCATCCTCATCATCCTCATTATCAGAATGAACCATATTGGTCATGATCATGACGAACATCATGTATCCAGAGCTTGCTATCGCTCGGATTTTCGTTCGGCAGCGGCGACGACGCCGACGCCGACAACGATGCGAAACCGTCACAGGCGGAAATGGGCGGGGGCTAAACTGGGGCCTAGGCCTGGCAAGCGACGAGCTTCAGGGCATGGTCAGAGCCAGAGCGGGGCCAGGGCCGCGCAAGGGCCGGGCGGGAACTGGGCCAGGGCCAGGCCCTGGCCGAGGCAGGGCTTTCTTTTTCTCCATCAAAATCATCGCAGTCATAATCGTCATGATCACCATCCTCATCATCATCCCCATCATGATCACCAGCATCGCCATGATCATAATAAGGATCATCCTCACAATAATCATCATCATCACCATCACCACCACCATCGTCATCATCATCATCATCATCATCATCATCATCATCATCATCATCATCATCATCATCACCATCACCATCGTTATCGTCATCAACATCATCCATTTTGGCTCAAGCGGCGGCTGGGCGCTGTTCACGCCTTGCCTCCCTGGGCCGGCCGCGCGCGCCACCGCCTTTCGCAGGCGAGACATGGGCAACTGCAAAGGTGAAAGTGCGGTGATTCGATGGCTCGCACAGCGCGTGCGACACCTCCAAGGTGAGGGAGCTGGATCGCAACGCTCTCGCCTCAGACCACCAATGCGAGTCCGAGCAGGAGAAGATGGAGAGGTACGTCGAGAGGATTGTCGAGGTGCCGAAGGCTGTGACCGAAGAGGTCGCGAAGAAGAAGAAGGTCAAATTCGAGTTTCACGCCGATGCGGAGGAGTGCGTTCCTGGCTTCGCTCCAGGCCACTGGGGCGACAAGGACGGCAAGCTCGGCAAGGATGGCATGGCCGACGTTTTGCAGCGAGGACTGCTCGCGCGACACGAACAACAGTGACGACATGAGCGACGTGCTCGCCAAGGTCGTCAGAGACCACGCGCCAGGCTACGCTGAAGACTGTTCGGACGTGCCGTGCGTCGACATGTACGAGGAGATCTCGTACTCCCAGGAGGAGGGGAAAATCGCGGAGATGCCGCGGGTAGAGCGCGCCGAGAAGATGGCCGAGGTGCCGGAAGATTTTATGGGCTTGCGCCACATCCGCCGACCCCTATATAAATTACTGCGTCTCCAGGACTGCATATAAATTACTGGTCTCCAGACCGCACGCACGATTCTTTGCATGGCAGACCGACGGATGTGCCGGGGTCGTGGGTGAACAGCGCACCGTTGTGCGGAAACGCGCGGTGTCTCGAAGACAAGAGGCAATTGCGAAGCAAAACGAGCTAGAATGTGAGGCTTGCAAAGTTGAGCGGGCGAAGAGGAAGCTCGTCGCGACGTCCCCAGAAGATGCGCGGTTTCGGGAGGCAGAGTTCTTGGAAGCTGTCGCCATTTATGCGAATCAGGACATTCGTTGCCACGTCGGGAAGCAGAGAGCTGTGCAGTGGCCCAAGGAGCGAGGAGAACAGCTGCTCTGGGTCGCAGCCAGGGACCGCCCGTGCCATGGGGGGGAAAAGAGGCGGCCGTACACGGTAGAGGATAAGGTGCGTTGGCTGGGGTACCACGAGAAGGAGTGCGCAAGCTTGCCCAGGTGGCTGCCGCTGGCCAAGGGGATGCCCGTGGCGTTGGGAGATCACTTGGATCGGTCAACAAAGCGGCTTCTGCGGGGGCGCACAGCGACGATCCATGGATGGGTGTTGCACGAGGACGAGGTCGTTGGAGATGAAGACGAGGAAGTGTTGTTGCATCTGCCGAGAGTGATTGTGTTGGACTGCCATACGAAGGAGTGGCACCTGCCAGGGTGGGAGCCAGGGCTGTATCCGATCTTCCCATCGAAAGGGCGGCGATGATTTTTGGACGGATATCGGAAGCATCCAGTATTGAGTGTCAAGCGAACGCAGTTCATGAGAACCCCGTCGTTGGCAGTGACGGCGCACTCCGCGCAGGGCCCGACCATGGGGGCAGGGATAGCGGACCTGGAAAGAGGGCGCGGCGTGAGTTGGATGTCCAGTTACTTTGCCATCGCGCGCGTGTGCAGGCGAGAGAACCTGCTGATCCCCCGACCTTTCGATAGGAAGCCGCGCGGCGCAGGTGAGATGGCGGGCGCGACTAAACTGTCGCAGGTGCTACGAGGGGAGCGTGGATTGGGATGAATGGGAAGCGGAACTAATGCCACGAGACCAGTGCGAGCGCTGCCGCCGGAGGTTGCTTGTAGAGGCGTTCACGAAGCACGAATTCCAGAGGAAGGAACGGCCAGCGTTCTACAGAGAATGCACGGAAGAGATGAAACAAAAAAACGCCCACGAAAAATGGTGTTCCACGTGCAAAGGGTGGGCAACGAGAGCGGGGGGGGAGGATGCAGCGCGGCGCGGTAGCGGTCGGGGCGCGGGCGCAGCGGCCGGCGTCGGGGAGACGACAAGGATTCGAACAATGTACTGCGCGAAGTGCAGTCATGACACAGCGATGAAGAAGTCGCGGAGCGGCAACGCGAAGTGGAGCGACAGCGTCGGCACTGTGCGATGTTCGAACGAGAAGTGCCTGTCGCTGCACGAGGAGAAGGCGGACATGTCGGATGCACAGAAGAAGCACCATGCAGCAGGGGTGAGGCTGCGTAGGACATGCGCGGAGGAACGTGAAATGGCGACGCGCGAGTCGAATAATTGGAAGCGTAAAGCAGAGGTGGTGGCGACGCCGCTGACGCGCCGCGTGCCCGGATGCGGGGTGCGCTCGTCGGTGACAGGCCATTTGAGTGGCAGCCAGGTGAGGGATCATAGGAGGAGGGGAGGACGAGTGGTTTGCGGCGACTGCAGCAAACGCGGCAGGTCGGCGAAGGAGGTGTCGGATGCCGCGAAACGGTTGAAGAGAGACCTCACGTGCGCGACGCGCAAGAGAGGGTTCGCTCGGCAGGGGCAGATAAGCGCCGAACAGGATAGCAAGCACTCCACGAGGAATACTTAAGTTGTGTGCGCAGAGTGCATTGCCGACGGGTTCACGTCGCGCAGTTGGCAGGCTTTTCAGTGCAGTGGCAGGCGCCGCAGGAAATTGCCGAAATCGGCTTTCTCCGTGGACGCGAGCCACGTCGCGCGCGACGAGAAGAAGGGCACCTTGAAATGCACGGCGTGCAAAAGATACCTGTAGAGCGC